GGGGTGGCAGGGGACGGGACTCCTCTCCCGGGACATCCTCGCTTGCAAGGTGCCACCCACTCATCCACGCTGCCTGCTTTGGGTCAGCGGCCTCTGTGGAGTGGGGGTCCTGCCTGTGTGTCCTGCCCTGGGTGTCCTCTCAAGAAAGGTCACACACTGCTCCAGGGGGAGAGCAACGTGCTTGGGGGACCTGGGCCGTGCTGCCCCGTCTCTCGGAGCCCTGCGCCTGGTCCTAGTGGCCCTGCCTGGAGCTGGTGTCCCGTTTCGGGGCCGGCCCCCACCCGGCTCGGGACCTGGCTGGCCCCGCTCACCACATGGGGCTCTCTGCCCCTCGGTGGGGCCCTCTCTGGCTGCCTGTTCCGGGGGGGGGGGGCTTGGCGGGGCTCTTCCCGCTGGTACCTACTTCTGTCCTTCCTGACCCCAGGGGCCCCTCTGGTCTGTCCCGCCTGTCCCCTTGCCCAGGGCTCGCCGGCTGGGGCTCGCAGGACCCCTGGCCACGTGCGTCCCACTGCTGTGCCAGAGCTGGCAGGTCTGCTGAGGGGAACCAGTCCCCTGGTGTCACGGGTCCCCTGCTTCCCTCCCAGCGTCCCCGGGGGATGGGGCTGCCGGGAGGTGGAGGAAACAGTGTGTGGGCAGGGCCGAGGCTGCCTGCTGGGGGCCGCTGCATGGCGCTCAGCCGGGACCCCTGTGCCCCAGTCCCCGAGCGTGCAGCTTCTGGGGTTTGCACCACACACACAGGAGCCCACCGGCCTGTGTTCCCCTGTTCAGTCTGGGCGTGGATTTGTGTCTGCCCTGGGAATGGCCTGTGCCTGAGATCCCTGCTCCTGATACCTTTATGCCAGCAAGGCTCAGGCGCGGGCCACCACTCTGCGGGGTCGGGCTGAGTGGCCTGTCACCTCTCTCCAGGTTTCCCCAGGACCTGTTCCTCTTCCCCTGTTGTGGGCTCCATCCTGGCCACTGCAGCCCTAGGTGTGTCCTGGTCCCGTGGTGATGTGGAGATGAGGCAGGGACTCTGCTGCGACCCCTTGGGGCCTATGCCTGGCAGGGTTGGCTGCACATGCCAGCAGGCCTGCATCCCCATCATAGGCCATCGCCAGTAGCGGGCATAAATCTCTGGGTAAGTGGGCCAAATGGTAGAACCTTCCAGGGCCTCCTTCCTGTCTCCTTTCTGTGCCCTGTCCCAACACCCTGGCCCAATGACACCTAGTGTAGCAGCCACCGTGGAGTTTTCATGACCTCTTGGCACCAGGTTGACCTCTCAGGGGAATTAAGTGTGAGGACTGAGGGACATGGAAGGTACCCAGCAGAGTCTCATTGAGGTCCTGGCAGCTGGTGCCTGTGGGGAGGGAAGCAGTGACAATTGGGAGTCCCAGAGCCCAAGGAACCCCACAGGTGACTGCAGAAGCCTCCTGAGCCCCTCAGACCTAGGGGAGGCTTGCTGGCCTTCCCCTCAGGGTCCCTGTGATTGAGTTCTTGGAGACTAGGGGGCTCTGGAGCCCTAGGGACTGTGTGCAACATGAATTTGGGCACCTTTGGGATCTGGGGACTGGGGCCAGTGCAGGTGTTAGGTCTACAAGTTTAGGGAGACAGTCACCGTGTAGTTTGGTGAAATCTCAGCTGTCTTCTATCTGCTCTCTGGCCAGAAAGAGACCGCTGGTCCCTTGTACAGTGAATAGATGAGAAACAGGGACACTGACCCTTGAGCAGTTTCCTCTCCTCTCCTGCCAGACACCAGAGTGGCTGCTGTACCCTCCCTGAAGGTAGCAGATCCAGGGCCGGAGACCCTCATTAGTCCCGAAGACCACCCTTGGGATGGCCACCACCCTAGGCCAACAGTGCTTCTGCTAGGGCCCCCGCTTCTCTACAGGTCCCCATGGGCCCAACCTGCAGCAACCCAGAGTGACATCAGTCCCTCCTCTCGGCATTCCTACTTCTGAGCACCTACTGAGCAGGAGGCTGTCCTAGTGAAGACTGGACTGCTTGGTTCTTGCACCCCATTTGCATAGGCACCCTGGCTTGGCCAAGTCCTTACTGCAACCTACTGAGGCGGTGCCATCTCCAGGCCTCTCAGAGGACCAAGTGGGCCTCGGCCCTGTGGCAATGCCAGCTCTCAGCCCCCGGCATGTGGCCTGGGGTGGCGAGGGCAGGTTCTGTGCAGCAGGCCCTGGGGGTGGGGCTGAGTGGGAAGGGCTTACAGCACTTTCAAGAGGCTAGGCTGAGGGAGCACTCAGAAAAGAAGTGGTTTGTTCCTGTGTGCCTGTCTTACTTTTGGTGCTAGGGATTGAAGGACCGAGCTACACCACACAGTAGTCCCTTTTCTGGGTGTTTTAAATGCACGGGACCCACCTATTACTTGTGGATCAGAAGCACTGTGGCGAGATGAGGACAGGGGTAAGGAAGGTCCCTGTCCTGCCAGACTTCAAAGCCTTGGACAGCCAAGAGCCCAGATAGTTCCTCAGGAGCACAGGGTTCATGTGCAGATGCTGCACGCAGCTGGGCTAAGGGCAGCCACCTGCAACAAGGAGCAGTTCATAGGCCAGAGGACTGAAACCAGGGCCCGACCCCTGGCTACAGGTGTTTCTTACCTGTCCACCAGGCATGTCCACCTGCCCCTGTGATGCTGAGAAATGACCAGTCACCAGGATGTACCTTTTTTTTTTGTTTGGAGACAGGGTCTCAGTTACGCACTCCAAGCTGGCCATGAACTATGTGATCCAGGCTGGCCTCCAACTCAGTGATCCTCCTGCCTCGGGCTCCTGAGTGCTGGGATTACAGGCATGGGCTACCACACCCGGCCCACAGTTCCCAGTTCCTTTTAATTTAGAGGCAGGGTCTTACTAATTTCTAACTTGCCCAGGTAGGCTCAAACTTGCAATCCTCCTGCCTCAATCTCCAAGAATGCTGGGATTACAGGAGCATAACCCACCTCTGGGGCGTCACTTCCCTTCCATCCCTGTGCTTTCCAGTGTGAAGCTGGCTGGTGTCAGCTCCCTGGTAAAGACACCTATGATTGATACTGTCCACACAGCCACACCCATGTCCCCAAACTGGCTGTCCACATGCTTTGTCATATGGTACTCATGTCTGTAAATAGTCACAAGTACTCTGGGGAATAAGTTGCAAAATATAGCCTACAAATGAAACAGAAACATAGCTATTGGTAGCATCTGCTCCCTTTCCCAAGACCAAAGCAAAACACAGACCCAACCGGACAGGTGCCACACAGTGGTCCTGGAGACCCAGGACACTGCCCATCACCAGGTCGGTGCAGGAACCAGAGACCTGTGCCGACATGGTAAAAATAAACAGTCTTTTATTGTGTGTCCATGAAAACAGCGTCAGGGCACCCTTTGCTTAATCCCCTGACAGGTGACAATGAACAAGATGTGGCATGCAAAACAACCATGTTCCCTTCAGAAGGACAAGGTCTTAGCCTGGTTCCAAGGCTCAGAGGCAAGTGGGGTGGGAGGCTCCCAAGGAGGGCAGGGGCAGGTGGGGCGGGCACTGCCCTGGGTGACCCAGTATCCCATGCTAGAACACACAGTGATGCTCCCCCCACCCCCAGAACACTGCTAAGGCAGCCAGCTAGGCTGCGAGCAGGACCATCAGGGGTCCATCCACAAGGAGCTGCCTTCCTCAGCCTGCATAGAGTAGTAAACGAAGAGCAGGAAGGCAGCGAACACCAGGAAAAGCAGCAGCTGGCCCCAGAGTGGGACCTGGCGCTCCTGAGCCACTGCTGCCATCGCCGCAGAGGCTGCCTTTTCAGGCCGGATGGCCCGGCGGGCGAGCCAGGAAGGCTGGGCAGAGGATGAGGATCCAGAAGCGGCGAAAGACGCTGGGTAGTAGGACAGACCCAGGGAGCCCCTGGAGACACTGGAAGCAGGTCGGTAGTGTGTGATGCTCTGGTAGGTGCTGTCCCGGCCATAGACAGGGCGCTCCCTGCGGCAGAACAAGGGAGCAGGTGGGCCAGGGGGCTGAGTCCCGGGTCTGCCGCAGCCCCCGGCCTGTGCACTGCTCACCTGTCTCTGCCGTCCTCTTCAGAGAAGACGCTGTCCTCACGCACCTACATGAGAGCTGGCTAAGGAGCTGGGCAGGAAGTGACGGCCCTGTCCCACCCCAGACCAAACGTCCTGGCCAGCCTGTGCTGACCCTGCTCGAAGACTGACACCTGCCTCCTCTGGAACTGTGCTGGGCTCCCAGCCTGTTGTCTTTGGGGCCTTGGCGCTCATTCAGTGACTAGTCCGGCTGCCTGTGCCTCCTTCCTCCCCCAGGATTTTCAGAAAGAACAAGAGCCCAGATCCCAGGCAAGGACCAGGTCATGTCCAGTGTGCTCTCATCACATTTTTTTATCTTTTTTTTTTTTGGCGGGGGGGACGAGGTATCACTATGTAGTACAGACTGGCCTTAAACTCACTATGCAGCCCAGGCTGGCCTCAAACTCCTGGGAATCCTCCTGCCTCAGCCTCCTGGGTGCTAGGATTTATAGGTGTGTGTCACCACACCCAGCTCATCAAATTTTTGGGGAGTGTACTAGGCACTAACCTCTGGGCAAGTGCTCTACCATTGAGCTACACACCTAGGCCCTAATCAAATAGTTTTGACGACCCCCAAGACTGGCTGGGGCCAAAGAGCTCTGTCCTGACTGTACCTGAAGGCTTAAGAGTCACCCTGTGCTCTCAGCAGCTGCTTGGATTTTCCTACATCCGGCTGTGACCGACAGCTCACTCACCTGGTGATGGAAGGTGTCGAGATCAGAGAGGGATGTGGCTGACTGGCGGAAGCCCTTGGCCTCAGGCTCCCCGTAAGTCCTGGTGGTCAGGTAACTCTCCTCGTAATAGTCATCATTGTAGCCTTTGAAGGGAACAGGAATAAGACACTGGTGTCCCCGACCTGGTCCAGTGGCCCTAACGTGAACACTATAAGGGCTGGGAAACGACGGGGGTCTCTGGTGGGACTAAGTGATGGTGTCACAGAGACGCACGCCCAGGGGCCGGGCCCAGCCCCGAACTTACCCTTGCTCTGGTAAAGCAGGGCGTCCTCCTTCTTGGGCAGATCATACATGCCTGAACCCGAAGATGTCGAATCCAAGTCTGAATTGAGAAGGGGACAGAAGCAGCTGGCCCCGGGCTTCCCTCCCTTCTCCCCACACACCGCCACGCCCTCACGCCCCGTCCTCCCCGCGGCCCCCGCCCTGTTCCAACGAGTGGGGCGGCGGGTGGCGCTGCGGGGCGGGGCGGGGCCCCACCTGAAAACCGGTAAGAGGAGGCGGACGAGTCCGGGGGCGACAGCCTCCGCCGCTGGCTCTCGTACTCGAAGATCTTCTTCTCGTAGAGCTTGCGCGTGGAGCCTGCAGACAGAGTGCAGGGCAGTCAGGGGCGCGGGCGGGGCGCGGGTCTCCGGGGACGTCCCGTGCGCCACACGCTGCCGCATACCCACGACAGGCCCGTGCGGGATGTTGTACTGGCGCAGCACCGCGGCCAGCTCGGTGTCCGACAGAAGCGAGTAGTCGTCCATGGCGGCCACCGGGAGACGGGCGGCGAAGGGCTGGAGGCGGCCGGGGCCTGGTTAGCAACTGCTCCCTCGGAGCGCAGTAGAGGTAGGGCCGCCACTTCGGGAGCGGTCGCGCTCGCGTCACTCCTACGTCGCGCTTGCGTCACAGACGCGGGCTCCACAGGCTGCGCGCGCTGCGCGGGGCGGAGCCAATCCGCGGGAGCAGCCGGACCAGACCAGTCTGGGCCTGGGAGCGGGTGGGGAGGGCCGCGGGGGGGGCGGGGCCAGCGAGCCTCTCTGTCACGATCGTACGGGATTGGCCAGACTGAGGGAGGCGGGGCCTGCAGGGGAGCCCTGGTCGCACAGACAGGTCCAGGCGTGGGAGCGGGCGGGGCCGGCCTGCTGGGCTAGCTTACTCGTCCAGTGTGGGCTACACGCGGGAGGCGTGCGGGATGGAGCAATTCGAACCCGCGGCAACCCACGGGAGGTGGTGGCGTGGGGTTGAGTATTGGGGGTGGCTCGAGTCCGTGTCTCACTGGGCTTCACCGTTTCCCTGCCCCGCCCGGGGTCCAGAGCTAGTTCCCAGCCGCATCCCGGCGGGCAGCGGTGGGGAGGCCCGGGTCCCAGTGCGCTGCACCAGGACAGCGGTGTCGCCCAGCCCCCACCCCACGCGGCCTCCAGCTGCCTTCCCGGCCCGCTCGACCCTCGCCGCGCACCTGCAGCCTCGCTCCCCCGCACCCGGGAGGAAATGAGGCACCGGGCCAGGAGGCCGCCTGCACGCCGGTGGCCGAGCGCATAGCCTTCCCGGCCGCCGCCGCCGCCCCCGCCACGGGCCCGGCCCGGCCCGGCACAGCACGGCGCGCTCTGTGCTGCGTGCAAGTAGCCGGCGGTGCCGCCCAACCCAGCGCCTTCTGCGGGGCCCCTGGGCGGGGGTGCGGGCATACGGCCGCAAGGAGCTTCCTCTCCTGGGGAGTGGCTCCAAGCCGAGGAACCCAGGTGGTGGCCGGGCAGGGCGCAGAGGGCGGTGGCAGATTGTGGAAAGCTGCCAAGCTTTGCTCAGGATCCATGACGGTGGCCCATGGTCGCTGAGGACCGCGATGGGAAAGAACTGTCTCGAAGCGCGGTTCTATCCGGAACAAAGCCAGCTAGTGGCCTGTGAGGCCAGCTAGGGCGCCCTCATGGGGCAGGTCCAGAGATAGGGGGGACCATGAAAAGACCAGGGCCTGGGATGCCTAGTGACATCAAAGAAGAGGCAAGCCTGTAATCCCAGCACTTGGGAGGCTGAGGCAGAAAAGTTCGACGCCAGCCTGGGCTACATAAGTGAGCTCAAGGCCAGCCTGAACTGCATAGCGAGACCCTGTCTCAAAAGGACAAAATAAAATAAAATTAAGTTAAATTAAATTAAAAAATAAAGGAGAGGCAAGTGCTCCGGCCCTCTCCCGACTGGCTGAGACTGCTGCTGAGGGTCAAAGACCAGTTTTTTTCAGAAGTTTGAGGAGACAGACACTCAGGCATTGGTGAGGAAATGGGGCCCTGTGTTCACTACACACGAAGACCCTAATGAGGAAGAGTTGCTGTTGGCTAGATTTTATTACTTTTTTGGGGGACAGCTCACGACAGGGTCTCACTATGACATTCAAGCTGGCCTTAAACTCTTTTATGTAGCCCAGGCTGGCCTCGAACTTGTGGTGATCCTCCCTCCTGCCTCAGCTTCCTTAGTGCTGGGATGAAGAGCATGCACTACCATGCCCACTTGGCTCAGTCTTAAAGACAACACCCTGCTGTGTCCCTAGCAACCGGGAAAGAGGCTTTCAGGCTTCAAAGACACTGTATGGCAGGGGGATGACAGTGTGGGCTCTAGGCCATGGGCCGTTGCCTCATGGACTTTTCAGTTTGGGCAGAATCCAGCACTCCAGCACCTCTCCACACCCCCTTCTGCAAGCTGGCCCCTCTCCCAGAGGCCTGTGTGTGGAGTGCACACAGCACCCCTCCCTGTACACATCCCAGCCGTTTCCTTATGAGGTCAAGGAATTCTAGGTCTGTCTTCTCCCAAGGGAGTGCCCTATATACACCTGCCTCAGCCTCTGCCTTGTGGGTCCCACACCCTGTTGCCCATAGCATGGTCCCTTGTTGATGGTGCTGTGAAGCTGAATTGTGGTGGCCCTCCTCTGCCCACCCCATGGGACCCAAAGCCTAAATCTGGCCTCATGGCAGCACAGCTCCATGTTGGACCAGAAGCCAGAGCAGCCACTGCCCACCAGACCTGAGACCACCCCACCATCACCCAGAGAGGAACTAGGTCCACCATGGGTGAGGCTCTTCCCAGGGCCCCAGGAAACACTGCTCAGCCAACCCTGTCCTCTGGCTGGGCACAGAGACCTCTCAGGCAGGAGCCCCCCAAGGGGCATTCTGGGGGCCTTTGGGGAGCTCTTCCTGGGAAGGACAAGCAAGGTAGGATTGTGCAGCCAGGGTGAAAGAGTCTGGGAGCAGCCAATTCTGAGTCAAGAATAAGAAAAGTGAGTTTGGGGTCAGGGATATAGCTCAGTTGTGCAGCGCCTGCCTGGCAAGCGCAAGGTCGTGAGGTCGATTCCCAGTACCAAAAAAAAAAAAAAAAAAAAAAGTGAGTTTTAAGGATGGCAATGGCTTCTAAACTGTGCATGGTAAAACTTGCAATCCGAGCAAGACTAAAGTTAGAAGGGAAAAAGTCTACATTTCTTACCAAGCATGGTGGTGCACACCTGGCATCACAGCCCTCAGGAGGCAGAGGCAGGAGGGTTACTGTGAGTTCAAGGCCAGCCTGGGCTACATAATGGGTTCAAGGCCAGCTTCAACTACATAGCAAGACACTGTATAGAAAGAATGGCAGTTCTTCAACACATGGAAAAAGATGTCTTTATTAAGATCTTCAAGGGGCTGGGGATTTAGCTCAGAGACACAGCGCCTGCTTGGCAAGTGCAAGGTCGTGAGTTCGGTTCCCAGTACCGGAAAAAACAACAACAACAATAACAAAGATCTTCAGTAGGGAACAGTTGGTATGACACAAACCCTCCTTCCCACTAGACCTGGCACAAGCTGGGGCACAGAATGGCCTGTGTTCAGAGTATGCGCAGTGGGTGGCACTTTTGTGCAGAATTTAAATGCAGTAGGGCCTAGGTCTCAGCCACATAGCCACGCCCTCTTCTGTGCTCCACAACTTAGTCTACCCCTGGCTCAACTGCCTCGACCAGGAACCCCAGTGCAACCACCTCATGGGCCCCCTGGTGTCCCAAGTGAAGATCGGCCTCTGGCCTCCCCAGGGAGGGCTCCCATAGGAGGCTGCCATGTCGAGTGAGGGTGTGAAACATCAACAGAGCTAGACAAGCCAGCAGCCCTGCCGAGCACCTTGCCCATCATATTAAACTGTGGACCAAACTCACCGGGCTGCTGTCACCAAACTCCTAGCTTTCCTCCCTATTCCTCTATTTCCTTTTCCTTCCTCCTTTTGTTTTTTTGTTTTTTGTTTTTTATTTTCTTTGTCTTTTTGAGACAGGGTCTCGCTATGCAGTTCAGGCTGGCCTTGAGCTTACTTTGTAGCCCAGGCTGGCGTCGAACTCACAACGATCCTCCTGCCTCAGCCTCCCGAGTGCTGGGATTACAGGCATGCGCCACCACGCCCAGCTCCTCCCCGTGTAGTCCACGGTGACCTCAAATGAGTGGTGATCCTCCTGCCTCAGTCTTCTGAGCTGGGATGACAGCCATATGCCACCACACCGTACTCTCTTTTTAGACACTACCAAAAGTGTCATTTTGTCTCTCTCTCTCATACACACACACAGGCTCAGGATGTAAAATGTAGCTCCTATTGCACACAAATGTTAAAATGATGCTGCTCAATGTGGCCTCCCGGTAGGAAGTGGCATTTGAGCTGAATCTGAAGCTATCAGGAAATGGGCGCAAGGAAGCGGGAGCCTGCCAGTGCCTGGGTGTGGCTATGTCCCAATGCACACCCCAGGTTTTGAGGCTACAGTAGTGGTGCTGAGAGGTTCCTGTCCTCAAGGGCCGCATCTGCGCAGCCTGGAGGTTTGTCCATCCTCGTTGCCGGCAAATGTTGCCCCTTGCCTGGGGGCTGAGTGTGGCCAGCTTGGGCTTAGGGTAGGGCCAGAAGGTCATGACTGAGGGTTGCTCCCTGCAGGAGGTGGCCTTGGTACCCGGGCTGTGCAACCAAGGAAGGCCATGCTGTACCCTTGAGGTCGCCTGGACGTGGCCTAGCAGACCCTGAGGCGCTGCCCCCACCCCCCCCACCCCATCCCCCGCGCCCCAGCGGCCTCGCGGAGCGCTGAGCTCATCCCAGGGGCGGCGTCGCCGGGCGGCCAGGGCGCCCGAGCTCTTGGCGCGCCCCCGCACACACCCCCCCGCGCCCCCGGCTCCCGGGCGATATTACCAATTAAGGCTTTCTCGCCGGTCCGAACCGGGCTGGGCGCGGGGAGGGCGCGGGGCGGGGATGCGGCCAACAAGA